GCTCACAGCAACCTCCAACTCCTGGGCTCAAGCGAGTCTCCTGCCTCAGCCTCCCAAGTAGCTGGGACCACAGGCACCGCCACAACGCCTGGCTATTTTTTTTTTTTTTTTTTGGTTGCAGCCATCATTGTTGTTTGGCGGGTCCGGGCTGGATTCAAACTCGCCACTTTAGGTGTATGTGGCTGGTGTCTTAGCCGCTTGAGCCACAGGCACCGAGCCTATATCACATTTTTAGAAAAGAACTATTATTCAAGGAACACTGGCTATTTTGAAGATACTTCATGAAGTACTTTCTGTACATAATTTCACTTAATGATCAAAGTAACCTAATAGAAAAGATGGGATGACTTCCACCTTACAGATGGGAAACTGAGTTCCGTATTAGCCACAGATCAAGGAAGTAGCACAGGCATATTCTACTTTCTTCACTTAATATTGAAGGTGACCTTTTTGAGGTTGTAAAATAACTGTCCTTAAATATAAATTTAATTGTTGTCCAATGTCTTGTGTTCCTGTAACACAACGTATGAAATCATTCAACTATAAATGGACATTTTGGGCATTTTGGGTTACTCCAGATTTGCTGTGATATGGGTCCTGTTCAACTTCTTTTATTTGTGATTGTATAATAAAATTTATATATTTGAGAAAAACTAGTTTGAGATTTAGATTTTTTAGGGACACAGTTCCAAAAATGAAAATGGAACTGTTTATAACAAAACTAATTTAAACATTATTCTAGACAAATACCTAGAATATATAAGGTCTTAATAAATATTTAATGACTAAATAACTAAAGAACATCATAATTTTAAAGTTCTCACTCCAATAACTTAGTTCCCCTGAGTAAGTGTCTATGGAAACCATGGTTGAGTTTGCATGATCTGTTGTGAAATCTGTTAGCTGTAGTCCTAGAGTGGCCCCTTAGAGTAGCTGGTGTCCTTCAGAGACTCATGTGAGTGAGATTTTACATTGCCTGGCATTTATGTTAGTTATTTTCATCCTAAACAATGCCAAACAAACTCCTTAGATGTAAAAATTTCAAGGCAGTAATTAAACATGGCTCTTTATGAGTGAATGATGGAATGGAAAATCCAGAGAGGATGCTTGGCTTGCTAATGGAAAATAATAGAAAACGGTTATTTGTCTTTACTTAAAACGTTAGCAATGGATATTACAATTGACATCATTGCCCCTGATTCCTTAACATGTCCTGTGAAAGCACTAAAATTATGTCAAGTTAAAAGAGTCACAGATTAATTCTATAGTGTAAGTTACAAATTTACACTGCCAGAAATATGTTCTGCTTTCTTGAAATATGGTGGAAACCTAAAGGCAAAATCTGAAAGTCAAAAAGAGTTTGACTTTTGGATTATCACACAAAAAGGGAAATATTATTTCAAAGTATAGTAAAGTTTTATAAATTAACAGATGAAAAAATGGGGGGAGAAAAATTAAAAGCATCAAATCCTAGAGCTTCCAAAGTTGTTAATATGAGAAAGCAACATACGTTATTATATATAGCGGTACGCTCACAACTTACTACCCATGCATTGAGGTTTTAGACGATTCTTATTTGAGCATTTTCTTTGAGAACATTTACTGGAATCAGTGATGAAGTGTCTTTTTGTTAATTTTAGAAAAATAAATGTCCACTTTTTTTTTTTCATTTAGTTACAAGCTTGAGATCTGGAATCAAAAAAGTGACCTAGGTCTGCATCTTGGATCCTTTGCTCAAGGCTGTCCTTGTGCAAATCTCTGAACTTGTACTTGTGGGATTGGTCTGAGAATAAAGGAAATCATTCATATACCATGTGAGAGGAACGTCTGGAACACACAATAGGTACTGGACTTACGTTCACATATGTTACAGTTCTTATTAAAAATGGAAATTACTTTCAAATATCCTAAGACTTAAGCATGGAATTAAAGTCATGGAATCAATTTTCATATATAAACTTGATATGATTTAAGTTAAGGCAGACATACAATTGGGAAGGCAATGAAGAAAAGATTATAAATATACAAAAAACAAACAAAAAAAAAACTTTATAAGTGTAACTTTCAAACCCAGCTGAATATTAGCATTAAAGAGTGATGTTTAAGACTGAAAACATGTTAATTGTTTTGGCCACTCATTGTTAGAAATCAAAATCCTAATACAAAAATATTATTGAAGATAAATCTTAAATCATGTTTCTAGTAGAAAGAATGAACAATCATAGAAGAATTCAGAGCTTAACAAACCACTCTTTACACAGGCTATTTGATAGGGAATACTAGGGAAATATAAATACACTCTCTTGGTGGGCAATGTTAGGTACTCAGCTTGACTTTAATTTTGTTTAGCTTTGGCTGTGATGCCTACAGCATCCTTATTTGGCTAAAAAAAAAAGTACAACATGAATATTCAAAGCAGTAGCTCTCGGTCAGGTGAGGTTTATGAAATGAAAGCTGTTTTCACATACCGAGGCCTTAGTTTTCAGCTTTCTGTCTCTAGTAATCTTCTCTTTCTTGTTGCTGGTGAAATAGTGCAAGGTTCCATACTCCATCAAGGCTGCAAACACAAAAATGAAACAGACAGAAACAAAGAGATCCATGGCGGTGACGTAAGACACCTTGGGTAGAGACTTCCTGGCAATTGTACTCAGCGTTGTCATGGTCAGGACCGTAGTGATCCCTGTGAGAGGGGGAAAGGAGAGATGATGAAAAATGACAGGGAGCTCTTATTTTTCCTTCTGATACGGCAACACTGTGTGCAGAAATAAGCGACGGAAACAAAAGGGTATGATTACTAGTGATGCACAGAAAGAATTGCCAATAACCATAGCTACATTACGCCCCCTGTGCTCTGTCTATCTGCGTGAATTGTAATCATTTAAATCATTGCAGGCTGCAACTGACTTCCAGGACCCATCCTTTCCTTCCTCCATCGGAATAGAATGTCCAGTTTTTAGCTGGTATCTGGTTGCCCAGGAAAAAATTATTGCGACCTTCTCTGTATCTGTAGGTGGCCCAAGGCTAAAATGTAGCCAAAAGGAGCAGAATGAACAGAAGGGGTTGGTACCTGTAGCTCAGTGGCTAGGGCACCAGCCACATACAGTGGAGCTTGTGGGTTCGAATCCAGCCTGGGCCTGCCAAGCAACAACAACTGCAACCAAAAAATAGCCAGGTATTGTGGCGGGCACCTATAGTCAGTCCTAGCTACTTGGGAAGGTGAGGTAAGAGAATCGCTTAAGCCAAAGAATTTGAGGTTGCTGTGAGCTGTGATGCCACAGCACTCAACCCAGGGCGACAGCTTGAGACTCTGTCTCAAAAAAAAAAAAAAAAATGTCCAAAAGATGGCATTAAAAAGACAGCTTTAAAGGCCCTTTCCTGTCGGACTACAGGGGCCAGAGCACCAGCCACCTTCTTAGACCATTAGGTGATCTTAGGAATTAGTGTCACTCACAACACAGCAGAAAGCAGAAGGAACCTGAGGCCCTGATACTGAGATGTGTCATATCACCTTGGAATACCTACCCCAGGACATTCACATGCGGAATCAATACCCCTCTACCTAACTGAAGCAGCAGTGATTTGAGATTGCCTACCATCCATACACAGGTAAAACTAATCAAAACTAATCCAGCATTTCCTTATATGTTAACTTGGATTAAAACTACTTTTCAATCTCAAAATTTAAATAAAGAATACAGGCATACTTATATTAAGGGAATCTTTAGAAACACACCTGAATCCTTTATTATTAATAAGTCAGCATGTGTATGTAACTGGGATGTCCCCCAGGGCCCCATTCCGTGTGTGTGTGTTTGGAGGCATTTGTCGCTTTTTATTCCCTGGACTTCTTGTGACTCTCACCACTGTTAATTTTTGCTCCGCTTACTCACAGATGAAAATGCCATCTTCTTACCTAAACAACCATAATTCTGATTCCTTATCTTACCAGGAAGGACCCCAGGAGTGGAAATGTTTATTCTCTTAAAGGTATAAAATATAATGCCAAATACTTCTGAATTTGGCTGATAATTATAGAGTAGCAAGATCTATGATTAAAAAAAGGAATTAGAAAGGGGTGGTAGCAAGTCTCTTTGGTGTGGTGAAGGCAATCGCTCCCTCTTTCCCTCACGACTTCATTGAATCATGTCCCAACAATTTCTCTCACATGCCCCAGTTTTTCACTTTCATCATCTTTTACGAACGAAAAAATAATCAAAGATGACACAAATGTGACCGATTGGAATCATGGATGTAAATGTAAGTTCCATTTCTGACTCTATTAGTGCCGGCATCAAAGGAAACTTAAGATCTCTGTGTTTCTCATCAAAAAACCTGGCCCTGTGATAACTTGCTTGGGACTTACAGTAGATGTACACAAAAGGCACTTAATTTACTTATACTCAGCTTTACTGATTTAAGTTTTCTTCCTTTCTTATATTAGCAATTTAAAGCTATAATTTCTCCTCTAAAGGAGGCTTTAGCTGCGCCCTGCAAATACTTATAGGTTAAGTTCTTATTAAAATTCATGTTGAAATATTTTCTAATTTCCCCTTGATTCTTATTTTACCCAAGGCTTATCTAAGAGATAATTTTTTAAAGATTTCCAAATGTGTAAGGCCATTAATATATTAACTTTATGAATTTTTAATTTACTACCATTTTGGCCAAAAAAATACTTTTAAACATTTTTATCTTTTGCACTTCATTGACATCTTGGTTAAGGTTCCATATGCACTTGGAAATAGTGTCTTATGAAGTGAGGTATGGTGTTTTATAAATATCAATCAGCTCAAGTAGTTGATAATTTCAGTCAGATTCTCTGCATCTTAATTTTTTCATGTAGTTCCGTAAATGAGAAAGGGATTTAAAATGTCCAATTAAAACTCAAGATCTGTCTACTTCTCCTATTGTGTCTGACAGTTTTTACTTCAAATATTTGAAAACCAAAACTATATCTAGGGTTCATTTCAGTGAATACAAGTCTTCCCTTTCCTTTGACGTCCACACTTTTGGGGGGGGGGGGACTCATTAAATCACAATGTTCTCATAATCCAACAAGATAGGTTTCCAAAGCTATTTATGAATTCCATAGTTATGTCTCATCCTTACTTAAAAAAAGTTAAATCTATTGACTTTATTATGAATGATTACATTCAATTTTACTTTATTTGAATACTATCATATTCTTTTATAATATAAGGAAAACTACAGCAGAACTTAGAAACGTGAAGTTTATTTCTTCAATATACAGTAGTAATTATGATCACCATGATTAGCTAGAGAACATAATGAACTTTCTATTAAAATGTCTCTGAGTCCATGATAATGAAAAAATATTTAAGGTATTAAAAAGATAGTAAGAAAACACTTTGGATATGTTAATATTTTCTTTATGGCTTGCCCTGCTCAAGATACTCTAACAGTCTTTCATCAGATGTGAAATAAAATCCAAAATCCTTAAATAATCCACAAAGACTTGCAGGATCTACCCATTGGCCACTTCTCCAATCTCATCTATGTCTAGTTAGTCACAGTTGTTGTTTTATGAACCTCAAGCATGACGTGGCAGAAGATCCCACTTGGAAAACTGTGGTTGTCCCTGCCTGGACTACTTTTTTTTTTTTTTTTTTTGGCCAGGGGCTGGGTTTGAACCCACCACCTCTAGTATATGGGGCCAGCGCCCTAACCCTCTGAGCCACAGACGCCACCCCTGGACTACTTTTCTACCAAATATCCATCAGGTTTGCCCCACATCTCCTCAGACAGAACAACCTCAGCTTATAAGTCTGCAACATGAAATAGCAAACACCATACCACCTGCCTCCCTGTCATTCAGTAAACATTGATCTTGCCTTTATCACTGACTAAAATTTTGTTATGTGCTTTTTATATTTCCTCGCTAAAACGTAAACACCATGAACATGAGCAGATGGTAAATTATTCCCTGCTAACATGGCAGCACCAAGATCGCTGCTTGTTTCACAGAAAGTATTCGATAAATGTTTGTTAAAATATGGTGTTGAACTAGCGAGCCCAGGACTCGTCCTGCAGTGAGATATCTGTGTGGGTCTGCATGTAAGTGTGTACGTACACACTTCATAAATCTTGACTCTTCAACATCACAATAACAAAGTATATTTTCCAAGTTAGTTCTGGCTGTAATTATCTTTATAATTAATAGGCTAATACTAAAAAATATGAATTCACGCAAAAACACAACTTCACAGTTGTCTTTTCTCATCCACAACACTCTAACATGACTTTATACAAACGCAGTGGTGTAAATAATCCTTCAGATTTTCATTGGAAAATATATGGGAATAAATACAATGTTTAGCTTATACTCCTAGTGCCATAGAAAGATCTTAAAATAGTTTATACGCCTTGGACCATAAAATAATTTGAAATAATAAAGAAAACAGAATTCAGATATGCGTGGATTTTGCCCGCTGGCTATGTCAACACCTCTGTTTTGATTTCCTCGGGAACACAATTCCCAGTACAGAACTGGGTGCCTCAAAGCTATGTATGTCTCTGTTAATTTTTATGTGATCTGCATTTTAATATATATGTTAAATGGAATTATTTACCAACTGTCATAGAAACCACAAGAAAACATCTTGGTGGTTGAACACTGAAACAGTTTCAACTTTCTTTATTTTTGTTGTTTTTAAAGACACCATTATCAGCAGTATGATTCATATTTTACACTGATTTGGGGAATGAATTGATTGATCAACAAGAATTGTGTATCAATGCATGAAAACAGTTTATCATTTTCTTTTAAAAAATGTATAGCAATTAGACTCTCATTTTCTAAAATGATTTTTTATTGTAATAGACAGATACAAGGAGAGCAAAAGTTTATTTTATCAAGGAAGAATTACAAGTGGTAATTCCGTTAATCAATGTTATTGGATGGGCAACTCTCAAATACTCAAAGAATAATTATACATTTTATATATTACAGAAGCAGGAGGCTGCTTCTTCCTTTCAACTTTTTAGCCTTTGCAACAGTTAAGTATTCATTAACAGAGTATTTCTTTTTCTTTCTTTCTTTCTTTTTCCAAGACAGAGTCTTGCCCTGGGTAGAGTACTATGACGTCACAGCTCACAGAAACCTCAAAATCTTGGACTTAAGCAATTATTTTGCCTCAGTCTCCCAAGTAGCTGGAACTACAGGTGCCCACCACAATGCCTGGCTATTTTTTGTTATTGTTGTTGTAGCTGTCGTTGTTGCTTTAGCTGGCCCAGACTGGGTTCAAACCCACAGCCTCAGTCTATGTGGTCTGCACCCTGACCCACTGAGCTATAGGTGTCACCTATTAGCAGAGTATTTCAAAGCTATCCAAACATACACCAGTATATAAATACTAGTTCTTAATGATTCAGATAAAACATAAAATCTAGATGAAAAGTGATTGAAAATATTGACCAAAATAAGATTTAAGTACTCAGTATGATTTTCATGTGTTAGTTCTTAACTGTGTGACCCTGGTTCCCTTAACCTCCATCAGCAGAAAAAATCAGTAGTTTTCTGAAATTTCAAGTCCATTAAAATTCTATTTCCTGTGTGTTTGTCATCTGTTCCTTTCAAAGTGGTATCACAGTAGCGTTTCTGGCAACGGATTGCTTAGAGGAATCTTTCTAATATATGCAGCTGTACACTTGTTTGACATAAAATGTTTTTCAAAATGCTATAATATTACACTGTAATATTCCACGTCTTACCCAGTGATGTTCTCGCAGGGACGGCATCTTTATTGATCCAAAAAGACACCCAAGAAAGAACCACCGTCAGGATACAAGGAATGTAGGTCTGAATGGTGAAATAGCCCATCCTTCTGCTCAGGTCAAAAAAAATTGTCATGATAACATAATCCCCTGGAAGAAAGAAATATGTTTCATTTTGGCTATAAAATATAGAAAAGTGTAGCCCCCAAACCATATATTTTAATACGAATCTCATTTAGTATTAGTGTTATTCAGGGATGTATTTCTCCTTACCAGAGATTGTGTGAGAGATTTCAGTGGAGTTTCGTAACCCCACGAACGCAAACTGATATAATCTCCAGTATTTAGGATCTGCCACTTCTACAGAGGGCTTCTTCCACTTATACTCAATTTCATTTTTAGGGTATCCGTCTAGAGAAAAACGTAAAATAACAATATAGAGGGTAGCAATATCCAAATCCGTTATGGTTGTAATATCAACATTATCTAAAGACAAACTCTTGAAACTTCTTCCTCCTTTATTATAAGATATGACCAGTACAGAAAATACTGCACAAATACATATGTATAGTTTAAAAAATAAGAATATACTGATCAAACAATGATACACTATGTCATCCTTGTAAAGCAAGAAATAGAACCTGTTAGCTCTCAGAAAGACCACGTATTTACCCGGTACAGGATTCTCCCTATGTCTGGGGGGGGAGCAGTCCTGATTACTGTGATAATGCTTCCCTTTTATATTACGGATTTTATATATGGATCTCTAAAAATATAGCTCAGTTTGAGTTCTTTTTGAACTATGTTTGACCATTGCCATCCTTAATGCATCATTGTACATCTTTAATACTGTGATAGTCATTAATATTGTATGTATATTGCTGCATTTAAAAATGTACCAAAATGTATCTATTTTACTGTTGTAGACACTTGTAATATTTCCTATTGGCTATTCCTTACATTGTTTCTAGAAACATTATTATACCTAGCACGTGCCTTACAAAATATAAATATGCACAAGTTTCCCTGGGGTGTATATGTAAGTATGGAATAGCTGAGTCATGCTTTACACATAATTTCAACTTCATGGAACAGTGCCAAGCGCTTTCATGGAGCATATGCTAACTATTCTCTCACCAGCCGGGGTGTGAAAGTTCACGTGAATCCACATTCCCGTTAATCTATCTCGATTTGGACAGTCTCTTCATTTTTGCTGGTCCATGAAGTGCATTTGGTTTCACATTTTCATGATTGCTAATAAAACCTTGTATTTTATTTTATTTTTTAAAAAATTCAGTATTTTAAGAATAGGTTCATTAGATTCTTGGGCTTCTTTTTTAGATGGTTGCTTGTTCACATGTCCATTAGTTGATTGGATTTTCTCTTCCTTTTTTCTGTTTTTTAAAAAATGAAGTCTTGATATATTCGGAACAGTAGTCCTGTATTAGTTACACTGAAAATATTTTTATGTATACTATGCTTTCTACAACTGAGCTGTGTTCTTTCAAAAAGAATATTTTGCCTCATATCAGGGAAGCCCTTGAGGGATTTCTTAACCAACTAAGTCAAGAAAATGTGGGCTAAAAAACTATTTGAATGTGTACTTGTGATTAGATGCTCTCAAGAACAGTTATTTCATCTTGGAGTGCTGATTTGCTGGGGTTTTTTTTTGTAGAGACAGAGTCTCACTTTATTGCCCTTGGTAGAGTGCTGTGGCATCACAGCTCACAGCAACCTCCAGCTCTTGGGCTTAGGCG